GGTGGCGCTAAACTGCTGAGCCACCGGGGCTGTCCATCTACCAATTTTCTATACTACATCTGTTTTCCCAGCTAACCTGGGGAATATTTCATGGCAGGAACTAAGTTTTATAACTCCACATACTCTGTGCCTGACAGTAAGAGTTCAATAAATGCTCATGGCTTGAACGATTGAAGGAATGAATAAAAATATTTCTCTTATAACAATGAACATTGAAGAATTATGATTTAACATCATACCTTAAATTCTGCCTGGACTCCAGAGCTTTCCAAGTTGAAGAAGTCGTGAGTCACTGGGCTTGGAGGGGAGGGGTGTTTGTTTGTGGAGGACTTGTTTCCCGACCTCGATGAATCACATGTATAATCACCCCAACTGCATCCTGTCTGGGGAAGTAACCAAAACCCCTATTTCTGGCCCCAATGACTTTTTGGTTTTATGAGTAAATGCCACTGGCATGCCATTAAATAAATGCCCTCAGAAGGCCCTCAGCCAGTGCTATAACCTACGATCATCAGGTTATAGAGGAGCAGTCTCGTGAAGAGAGCATGAGACAAAGGTATAAATTTCTCCATCCTGCCTGGCCCATTGCTCTACCTGCTAACTGGTGACCTGGCCTCCAAGACCTTTCCAAACATCTGTTACATCTTTTTCCAAATCACAGGTATGATCATGCAACTGTCCTGTAACATGTAATGATTCTCATCATCCACATGGTAAAGACCAAACTTCTTAACCTACATGTCCAGGCCCTCTCAAATCTGACTCTGACCTTCTTCTACTTCTCTGTTCGGTGTAACCAGATGCTTCGAATAGAGTAAATGGCTTTCTGATCACATACAAGTCCTACACTTTACTCTATGACTTTGTTTTCTCTACTTGCTCCCAGAAGGCCCACTACTTCCATTTCCAAACGTCTAAAATCCATATATTCTTACGTCTCACAAAATGCCACTTCTTCCACAATATCTTCAGTGACTGTCTAATAAGGAAAAAGAACTTCTCCTTTGAGCGTGCCCAGATTTTATCTGTACTTCCGTTCTGTTGCTTATTTCTAATTTTCTAATTTGTATTATAGACACAAATGTACATGTTCATTTGTTTAATAATCATTCATTAAAATATTTGAATGTTAGTCAATGTGATACCCCTCCATCTCCTACCCACACCTGCCAGAGGGGACAACTCCAAATAAGGGTCAGTTGAGTGGAAAAACTGAAAAAGTCCATTTGTTTAGAGCCTTATCTTTGGCTTGAAATCTTCATGGAAGGTTTGACATAGGAGTGTCTTATTCTCATCTCTCTTGGTGTATCCCTTACTTCCGTTCCAAGAAAGCCTAAGATTAAGAAAATCTGTAGGTCTCCGCAAACATGTTTTGTATCTATGGATCTCAAAGGCAAGGTCTTCATTCCAGGTTTCCTTCATCCTAGTATCCAGTACCTCAGGGCCTCCCCCTTGCTAGTCGACGAAATGAACTCAGGGGGGTAAAGTATAATTTTGATAATAAACTGAGTAAAACTGGCACATAATTAAGAGCACTTCAAAAAGCAAACTTAAAAAAAAAAAGATAGCATATTCCTAAAACAAAGACGTTTCTGTTCCTGGTTGTTGCAGAATATCCATGCCATTGTGCCAATTTCGGGGCGGATACATTCCTTCAGTATGGATAAGTGAGAGTTAGCTTTGTTTGACTACAAAGCTTTTTTTTTCCCCTCCTTTCTGTGATTAGTATTGCTCTCGTTATATGAAGAAGGATGTAGAAGCAGAACAAGTATAAAATCACCCAGGCCAAAGTCAGATAGAGAGGGAACGGAATGTCAAGAGTATCCCTTCCTTTACTATTCTTTGGCATTGACCGCATCTGAGTGGATGAAAGGGATAGGCAACCATGACACAGCTTGAGAGCCAACTCCCCCACTGCTTCTCTAACGGTGGCCCTCAGGGCAGCGTCCTTCTCTTTTCAGAGGTCAAGGTCCTACTGAACATTTGCAATTTCTTCATCAGTGACAGGAGGATAATAATATCCACTACAAAATAACATGGTCAGACTTTCCAAACTGTAAAGTGCCACTTAAATATTCACTGGTATTGTAAATTCAAAGAAAAGTTTTTTTCTTTTTTCATTACCCTACAACAGGGGTTGGCAAACTTTTTTCTGTAAAGGGCCAAATAATAAATATTTGAGGCTCTGTTGTGGCTACTCGACTGCCTTTGCAGTAGGCAAGCAGCCACTGGTGATACGGAAATGGAGAGCTGGGCTTTGTTCCGATAAAACTTTATTCACAGAAACAGGTAGCAGACTGGATTCGGCCCATGGGCCCTATTTGCAAATCCCTAGCCTACGTCTTTGGACAGAACGAACACCAGAGGCAGACAGGGGTGCATATCTAAAATCTTTCCTGCTGTGAAGAACGATATTATCAGTTTTTATAAGCAATTGTCCTGAGACTTTCAGACATCTCTTTTGGAAACAAGAGTTTCCATTTTGTATATTCATCTTCATCATCATCGACATCATTTTGTACCTAAGCTAGAAGTATGACTAGATCCCTCATTTACTACATCTACCACTTGACCACACTCTCTTCTGGGAAAGACAGCTCTGATTATTGTTAAAGAAAATATCCATCATACTTGTGGTGAAAGGTCACTACATTTTTTAACAAATTGGTCCTTTGAGCAAGATGAATTTTAATGGATTGGTTTATTAACCTAAAGGTTGAACCAGGCTGAGAGTAACTGAATGATTTGTTCATAATTAGTATTATTTATAATTATTTTACTTGGGAAAAAATATCACCTTAAATGTCAGGATGTTTTTTTTTTAATTGCTTCAGATGAGATTCAAAATAATTGACTTTGCAAATGTATTTTTAAAAACTCATTTAAAAATATCTGTAGCTGCCGAGAGTCTGTCTGGAAGAGGCAGATATTGGTATTCATTACTGGGAACAGGGCAGAAATTGATCCACGATTTTTTTTAACCACATGAATTGTGTATTGTGGTCACTCCTGGACTCTAGAATAGCTGAAGTGCTGATACAGTGCCGTGTTCACTCCTCTTCCCCGTTAACTGTGCTGAGTGAGTATGCTGCGTGAATGTCAGCCTATGTGTTTTGCTCAAATATACGTTTGCATATATTTTGTATTAAAAGGGGGAGTAGGCACCTGCTTGAAGGAAGGAACGTATAGACGCGTTTGGTGGCTTTAGAAAAATACAGTCTGTGTACATACTATGCAGATGTACACATGATTTAGAGAGGACACAAACGTTCTGAAGGTGAGTAGGTAAAGGACTTAAACTTAGCATCTCTATAAATATTAATTTACTAGTCAGTTGGTGGAGAAGAAAAGAAATAGGAGAATATGTTAACATCTGGCAAAAAAACAGCTTCTAAAAGAAGTGAGGTTGTGAAATACGGGGAGATCCCTAGTAAGGAACAACAATGGTGATGTCTTATAATGATGCAACACTGTAGAGATACAAGCTTTTGGGGTGTTCAGGTATAATCTCATGTGCGCCTCACATCTATAGCTGGAGGTGGTAAGAAAGGGGAGAAGCAACTGCATCTGGCAGAGGGAAAAGAGAAGGCTCGAAGAAGTCAAGGGATTTGCCCATGGTCCACACTACCTTCCCCAAACACCACAGTGCTTTTGGAACCCAAGGAAAGGGTGACTGTGTCCACAGGTATCAAAGCCAACGTCGGCCTTCGTAGGTCGACGGAAAGAGCCTGACCCAGAGTGTAGACCCCAGTTTCCCATCTGAGACATTGTAATGAATAAGTAACAAGTAGGCTGGAAAGAACATTCCAGGTGGATGGAATATGGTGCTGGGATTATAAACACAGCATCTTATTTGCTTCTTCCACCTTTAGCCTGATCATGTGCCTGAGACACATTGTGACATGTACTTGAGCAGCACAGTGCGGAGGACACAGACAAATCACTCTTCCAGATAGCCCAGCAGACCCCATCCATCATTATCTGCACATCTGAGAAGTAGAGACGTGTAGCCGAGGCCGGGAAAGAGAACATTTGAAGGTGGCTAAGAGGGAAAGAACGCAAAGTTTCCCACTTATCTGCCAAGGAGGTTACTCTAAAAAGTGATGTGGCAATTAGAGGTCACATATTTAAATTTTCCCACCGATAGGATACACACATTCCTCCAAAAAGGCTCAGTAGGAAAATACCCCACTGCGAGGCGTAAGGGTCTATTAACTGATTAATTATTATTAATGCCATCTTTTATTTAGCTAGCAATTATAATCTATTAGGAGCATTTATTCACATTATCTTACTTATTCAAACCTCAGAAAAATCCTATAAGGCTCATCAGGAATATATTATTATCTCCCTTTTATAGACAAAGAAAAAGGGGATCCCGACGTCTCCTTGCCGAAGCTAATCTCGCTAAGTGGCAGAGGAGCACTCCTGGCTCCTGGTCCATTACCCAGAGCGACTGGAGGGGAGACTGGAGGGGACAAGGGGATCGTCTGAGACTTGAGTTGAGAGCAGAGAGAACCTGAAAAGGCCATCGGACCAGAATTCCTTCCAGTTTAGGAAGCCCAGAGTCCGGAGTGGGTGTGGCCACACGACACACAAGCCCAAGGCTAGATGGACTCCCAGGCAGAGACCTTCTCACTTTGAATTTTCTTGTGTCGCTGAGCACTGGCTCTCCGACTCGGCCTCTCGTGTCCTGTGAAGTTCCTGGGCCCGACTTCAAACTAGTTTAAGTCTCTGAGTCAGTTTGCAAACCCTCCCTCTCTGGCTCCGGCTCTGGGGTCACTTTTGCATCACATCCTACATGCATCTTTGTCCCTTTGCACTCCTTTGGGGGCTCCTCCCTCTGCCCTCCCTCAGGCTCTCTGCACTGCCTCCCCCCTCCCTAATCCCCCCTGCCCACCCCTGTCTATCACCCCAGCCTCCCACCATCAGGGCCTCCGTGCCCCTGGCCCCCCTCCCCACACCGTGAGCCCCTGCACCGGCATCTCCCGGGCACCTACCTGGGCTCTGCAGCCACAGGCATCTCCTTGGTTCTGTCCTTCTGAGGCCGCCTGCCTCCATCCAGGGCCTGGGAGCCATGAAAGTCTTCAAGCTCTTTGTTGCTTTTCCTCCTTCGTGTATAACGCTAGGTAATTAAGCACAGACAAGAAAAGATGGCATCAGCTGTGCTCCTCGGCCGCAGCCTCCAGAAGTGTTATCTCAGACCCCAACATTGCAACAAAGAAATCTCACAGTTGGGTCAAGCGCGAAAATCAGAGGACAGGAGGAGAAAACTTCAACTGCCAAAATCCCACTGCCCTCCGGGGGCTCCCCCTTGTGGGAGATGTGGGACATGGCAAGGCCGGGCCCAGCCGCCGGTGCCTCCGCAGGAGGAGGGCCCGAGAGCAGAGTGCGCGCACCCCAGGGGTGTGGAGTCCGCCTGCAGCCACCTAGGAGGGCCTCTGCGGGCGGTGCAGGGTTGAGACCCCCTGTAATCAAACAGGGGAACCTGCTGGGGAGACAGAGCTCTCCGTGCCTGGAGGCCTCTGAGTCCAGGCGAGTGTGGCATGAGTCACGGGCTTGCACAGCGTACCCTCTGTATGGGAAGTGGTGACTGGCAACCGGTTGCCTCCTCTTCGCGTCCAAGGCCCTCAGTGGCACAAATGCATCATAAAGTCGGACATTCACTCGGGGCTGTTCTGCAGAGACAGGCGTGGTCTCCGCCGTCTGAGCAAAGAGTGAAGGTCCAGTCTCCTGGACTCTCGCCAGTGTGGGCACAGGGCCTTTTGGTGCCCTGGCAATTTTCTGCTCCCCACCTTGATGGGAACAGATTGTACGTCCAAAAAGTATCTTTCTCCAGAGAGATAGATACAGTCTCATTCATTCTCCCCTACCCTGGCAGGCAGGTAGGAAGTCAAATACATTAATTACTCTTTCTGCAAACAGCATTAGAGGCTCATGCAACCAAGTAAGGTGTGTCCAAGGCACTAGAAAAACCTTCAGGGGAGCTCAGGGCTTAGCTGTCCTGCCTTCCTCCTGCCCGGTGTGTCTAGACTATATGCTCTGTCTCTGGAGAGAAGGGGAAATGATGCTCGCTGACCTTCCACAGTGCAGGGCAATGAGCGGCACCATTAAGGAGTATTGATTGACTCCTCAGCTGTGAGGACAGTGTGCTGGGTATGACACAGATTGAGAGTCCCAGACAGAGCCTGCAGGAGAGAATTTGTCATCATGTTGAATGTGGGGGAAACAACCAATGGCCTGTTGGGATGCTCCTTATTTTCCAGAACTGGGGACTGGTAGTGGGGACTGAATAAAGAAACTCTGGAGAGTGACAACAGGGCTCTGGCCAGAGTTCGCCACATGTGTTGTGACCCATTATCTCATTCCGCCTTCATACCAGTTCGGAGACCTTGGTTGTGAAGGTAGGTTAACTCCATTTTATGGACAACGAAACTGAGGTCACGGTGGTTAATGGACCGTGAAATAAGTGGCAGAGATAGGGATCAAACCTAAATCTATTTAAGCCTAGAGCTCTTCTCACCATATCACATTGCCTCAGCGACTCTTCTAGCTGTCCTGGCAAGGGAACTCTGGCTGGGGGGTCAACATAAAGCATCTCATATTAGTTTCAGCAAACCAAATCTCAAGCTGGTTCCCACTGATCCCTATTAAATACCTCCCTGATGTTGATGGCACTCTGTGCTGAGTCACATGGGAAAAATGAGCTTGGAACAAAATCATAAAACTCCATGTATTAAAAACCTTCCTCACAGTCTCTTTCTCCATAAGCAATGCAGACACGACAGGCTTAAGACAAAACAAACACCCAAGACAAAAGGAGCTATGTGCCACCAAAAGGATGATGATGATGATAAGTTGATTCATGATATAGTTACCGACCGTAGACTTGAGATATATTTCTCAGACCTCTGTTGGGTTCTGGGCTCAATATGAAAAAAAAGCAACCAGCCCTGAATATACTTATACTTCATTATAGGGGCACCTAGGTGGCTCAGCAGTTGAGCGTCTGCCTTTGGCTTGGGTCGTGATCCCAGGGTCCAGGGACAGAGGCCCACATCAGACTCCCCACAAGGAGTCTGCTTCTCCCTCTGCCTATGTCTCTGCCTCTCTGTCTCTCATGAATAAGCAAAGAGAATCTTTAAAAAAAAAACTGTTATAAACTCAGTTCAAGTATAAAACAGCAATAAGAATTTGGAGAATTCAAGGAAATCTGCAAAAACAAGCAAACAAAAATCCCTTTCATGCAAACAGATCTAAAACTGAGGACTTCTGGTGATAGGAATGTTGTGAGGGATGGAATAGAATAAAAGCCCAGACATTCTGCCCAAGGAGAACGTATCAGGGGGTCGAGCATGTGAAGGCACTGAAGAACAAACAGGATGATGGATGTGGTGAAAGAGAGTCTTGCTTCTCTCTGGGCTGGCCAGAGCATCTCATCCTGACCCCATGCTAGACAAAATTGGAGTACCCTGAAATGAGAGCAACCAAAGTATAGAAGAGACTGGAAATCATGTCATGAGGATTTCAGAACACCAGAAATGTTCAGGCAGATGAAGACAAAACTCCATCTCAAAAATAATGGCTGTCCTCAACTCCCCAAAGGGCACTCAGATAGAAAAGGGATGGGATTTTGCTCTGCCAAGCATCAGGGAATAGTTTAGAACCAATGGGGGGAAGCTTCAAAGAGGATGTTGTTTTACTCACTAGAAGAAAAACATTCTGCTAGCTCAAGCCCAAAGTGGAAAGACCACCTCCTGTCTGGAGAAGGCTAGGAGGACTCTGTCTCTGAAATTTCTTTGGTCTAGTTCTGACTGTGTGTCTATGGACAACCGAAGGCCCAAAAGGAGGAGCTGGACAAAAGAAACACATGAAACCTCACACAGAGCATTCAGCTCCTACTGAGGGATCTCACGGCCTAATACGTTCCAAGATCACCAAAATCCAGAGTGTGCTTGCTGCCTTTCCCTCTCTTCCCCTTGAACAGAATTATTATTTATTTTATTCTCTCAGCTAATTCCAGTGTTTACGCACCTCCTAGGTGAGGCAAATGCCCTCCGGTAGAGGGGACAACACAAGGGAAAGGGTAAAACTCCGACACTCCCTTCAGTTTAAGGAGAAACTTAGGTTTTAAGAGAAATATTTAGAAGTTGTCTTGTTGAACACCCCTGTCTGAATCCATTCCACATCTTCCCCAATTAAATAACCCCTGATCTCTGAATGCCACCTCCAAAGCTAATGGGGAGTAAGCAAACTGTTCACATACAAAATGCACCAGCAAGACATGGGAAACACAGGAAATGAAAAATGGTACCTTTTGTACAAAGGCAGAACCTAAAATGAATCAGGATTTGTAAAAGTCAGAATTAGTGTAAATTTTAAAAAATATCACCTCTAGTTTGAGTGGCCACTAATTCTGACACATTGCTGGGAAAAAGCACGGGGGAGATTGTTGTGTGATATGCTGCCTTTTGCATGCGTGAGCAAGCTTTCTGGTGCAGATGGGGAGATGTAAGACTAGGGGCCGGAGAAATAAACCAAGGTGAAAACTGTGGATGAGGAAAAATTACTATGGAGCCCTGAGCGGCTGCCAGGTGGCCTGTGTCCGGAATGGTTTGCATGCTGGGATGTAAAAGCCAGTGGAAAGCTGGTGAGGGTGGCAGATGAGAAGATGCACCTGTGATTGAGTAGAGGGGACAGAGGGCATTAAGGAGGCTGAGGGAAAAGACACAAGGTTAGGGATGCGGCGGGGGGTGGGGAGGGAGAAACAGGAGATTGGTAAGTTCCATTAGAAGTTGGAAGAAGTGAAGAGAGAGCCTCCAGGGAGGTCTAAGATACCTGGGCTATTTCCAAGACCATCTCAGGGTCTCAAGAGATGGTAAGAGGTGGGGGTGTGGGTACATGATGGACCCTAGGCACTGAAAGATATGAGTGGAAAGAAGCAGCAAGGAAGCTGGGCCCATCACAGGACTCAGTCTCTCCATTTCTCTGACTAGCTCATTTTTCCTTTTCTTTTTTAAAAAATATTTATATTATTAATTTATTTATTTGAGGGAGAGAAAGAGCGAGTGCAGGGTGGGGAGCAGAGGGAGAGAGAGAATCCTAAGCTCCATGCTGAGCGTGGAGCCCAACCCAGGGATGGAACTCAGGATCCTGAGAACACAACCTGAGTCAAGATCAAGTCAATTAACCAATGAGCCACCCAGCCACCCCTGACTAGCTCATTTTTCAGAGGAGGGCAGCCAAGAGTACCCTCCTGGCTATGGTGGACTGTTAATTCATCAGAAAAATCTGAATCTGTCCAGTGCTGACTGAACACCTCCCATATGCTCAGCTATATCATAGAAATAGAAATTGAAAACATTACTAAAAAATCATGCTGTCAAATACCCCATAGTAATCTGAATTACTATTAGTCACTTAACAGTCATTTGTCCAATAACTACTATGGGCCAAGGGCCATGGTAGGAACTAGGAATGTAGTCGGGACTATGAGGGCCCACCCTCATGGAAGTCACAAATAAAGAGGAGGGAGGAGAGGGCAGACAAGCATAAAAGAAACTGCAGAGAATTCTAGGACGCCGTGGAGAAAAATAACAGACATACAAAATTAAGCTCCTAGTTTTTACCTTCTTAATTTTTTTTTAATTTTTATTTATTTATGATAGTCACAGAGAGAGAGAGAGAGAGAGAGAGAGAGACAGAGACAGAGACAGAGACAGAGACACAGGGAGAGGGAGAAGCAGGCTCCATGCACCGGGAGCCCGATGCGGGATTCGATCCCGCGTCTCCAGGATCGCGTCCTGGGCCAAAGGCAGGCGTCACCTGCTGCGCCACCCAGGGATCCCTAGTTTTTATCTTCTTTTACAGAAAAGAGATGTGAGAAGCCATAGAGAATCAGGAGTAGTCAGTCAGTAGGAAGTAACCCCAGTCAACTTCCCAGGGTCCAGAGGATGGTGGTGGATGCTGGGCCCAGCAGGGGACCACTGGTGGGGAGCAGACTGGGCAAGAAGACCAACTCTAACCCCTCAAGGGAAACAGTGAGGCTCATAATGGAAGAAGCCTCCTACTCAAGATCTTCCCCTCTTGACCCCACTCTCCCTGCCTGGTCTGACCAGTTCAGTTGG